ACAGTATATAAAAATATTGGTCAAAATTTACATATAGTTTGAATCTAGAAAAATGAGAATTAGGGCAGGAGGAACATATAGCCGTTGGTTATAAGTACGTCGAGACGAGTAGGCAGGGTACGATGGAGCTCATTAGTTAACACATAGTTATCTTGATAGGTGTTATAGTGACATTGACAACTGAATGAATATGTTTTGACCGCTCGTAAAAGTTCAATTTTTGGATAAACTAATAGAGATTTACTTGAAAAAAATATTGAAATTATCTACAATGAGAATATAATGCATTCTTAGTGCAACCGATAGAAAAATAGCCTATTTTAAATAGGTACCTTAGTTTATCACAAATTGAACTTAATCAACATAAATCAAAGTAGATTTAGAAAGAGCCTATTTGTTTAATATAATTAAATGGAAAAGGGCTCAAAATACTTTCGAAGTATTGGAAATGGTACAAAACTATCTTCCATTCACCTATTGGTTTCAAAATACCCTTCTCATTCACTTTTAGGTTCAAAATTGATCACTTATTTAATGATTTTAAATTTAAACTATTTAGATATTTTTAAAAAATACTTGGCGTTCAACTATTGGTTACAACATAAGTTTTTAATATTATTTATAAACCAACTCACTACCCACTCATTACTAATTAAACTCACCAAATTAATAAACCAATTCTAATGTCAAAATCGTCGTAAACACTACTAAAACACGGCGAAATCACAGATTCTTGAAAATAACGTCCAAAATTATTGGAGTCCGAATTGAAGCCCCCAATGAAATTTAGGTTTAGCCTCTTATTTAAGAGGATGCTTTCAATACAATTCTCTTTCAAGCTTGAATTCAAAATTTATTATTAAAGGTAAAGAAGTAGTACACATCGAATTAATTCGTGCACTTTTTTAATATAGTTTTATAACTATATATGATTTATATTAAATATTACAATTATAATATATTTTTTTAAAAAAAGTTATCTATTTAATAACATCAATGAAGATGAAGGAATAATTAAGATGAGCGCAGTCAGAATTTCAAGTTTATCGGTAATTATTATTTAGACACTTGAATTATAATATGTTTTGATTGAGAACTTGAATGTATGATAATGTATTTCTATAGACATTTTCGCCTCAAAATTTTATAAACACTCATTGGCAGTAGATTTACTATTGTTGCATTAGTAAAGGGTCGGGTTTAATTAGTAATGAGTGGTAATGTATTGATTTATAAATTATATTAATAAGTTAAGTTATCAAAAATAGTTGAGGGACACATATTTAAATTAATATTTAAATAGTTTAAATTTAAAACTGTTAAATAAGTGATCAATTTTGAACTCAAAGGTGGATGATAAGGATATTTGGAGCTAATAGGCGGGTGAGAAAGATATTTTGAAGCCAACAGGTGAATGAAGGGTAATTTTATACCATTTCTAATATTTCAAGGATATTTAAGGCATGAACCATTCCACAAATACAAAATGCACTGTTGTATATAGATATAGAGAGTCAAAGAAAATGAGTTGTTCTTTTTAATTTATTAAAAAAAAATAAAAAAAATCATGTATTGATTTTTTGTCTCAATTTACGTGATACCGTTTAATTGTTTAACAATGACATATTTTATATAAAATAGTAAATTTAACTTTAATCTTCTCATTTATCTTTAATGAGGTGATTTAAACTACACAAATATCTGTAATATGTTTTTTAGACGATAAATTTCAAAGTCGATCTTCTATTTTTTAAAATTTTTTTTATATCAAATCAAATGTTAGCACACAAAATTGAGACGGAAAATATATTATAAGAAAAAAAGTTTGATGATTGAAAAATTGAAATTATTTTATTGTATTATGTGATTGATTTCACTATAAAAAAAACAAGTTGTCAAAGTCAATAACGTATATACTAAGTATTTTTTTTTGGACCTAATTAACGATTTTATTGTATGATTAATTAATATTTGTGTCAATGAGAACACTTTATTTTCAAACAATCGTAATTCTTATTTTCATATTGCAAAATGACACCACATATGATTACAAGTTGCATGGCATTTAATTGATTATTTTTTTAATGTTAAATTATGAACCTTATTTAAATCAACATTAATTGATTGGAGGACTCTCACAATTGAATAATTTGTGACAATCTATATAAACTAACAACGAATAAATCATGAACTCTTGAATTAATAATAATAATACAAATAAAATGATAATATTATCCCTATTTCCTAAAAAGAATATAATTAAATGCTACTTTAATATATGAAAACATTAGATTTTAGTTGTTTGCAAACTTTTAAATATAATAAAAATCAAATAGGCATGATATGCACTAAAACTTAGGTGCATGGAACGTGCATTTTTTAGACTTATTGTATTAAGAATAAGGATGGAGTCAAATTATTCTTTTTATGATTTTTTTATTTGTTCTAATATTTATTCGATAACATTTGAATTTACATATTGTGTGATATATATATTTTTTTAAATTATTGTTTTTAATAATTTTTTTTTATTTTTTGAAACTAGAACTCAAATTATTAACTAGCTAGATAAGCAAACTTCTAATTAATTTGCTACAAGAATTTGGTTGTAGCAGAAAAAGACATAATCTATTAAAGATTTCTTTATATTTAAAATTTCAAATCGAAAATTAAAAGAAAATAATCTCATTCAGTGCACCATATTTTTTAACGATGTAATAAGGATGTTAATATCTAACCTTCTATTCAAGCATGAAATGAAGCAAAAAGTGCTAGCATTTAAATTATATACATCATAAATATATTAATGTATTTCAACTATCATCAATATATTTTAATCAAATCTTCCATATAATTTTATTTTTTTCTCCATGAATATTCTTTTTATTCATTTATCCCACATCCAAATTCATTTTAAAAAAAAACCAAAACACCACTAATTTCAAATCTCACACGTAAGCCATTGACTTCCAAATTTTTTATTTTTTAATTGGACCAATTTCCTTTTTCATCTTATACCAAATTAAATAGCTAAACCAAATAAAAACCACTCCCATAATTCTCATAAAACCAACTCTTTAATTTTCAAAATATCATCATGAACACCACCACCACCACCACCTCCGATCTAAATTCCGGCTCCGGGCGGTTCCTCGGATCGGAACAAATCGGTGTTTCCGCTACCATTGTTCTACTATTTGCAACCATAACAATGACTTCATATTTTTGTACTCGAAAACAAACACCACAAAATCGCGATGAAGATAATTGCGTGGACGTGGAAATGAAGATTGATATTGAAGCAACACTTTTGAGTTACCCTAAGTTGTTATATTCAGAAGCTAAGGTGAATTGTTATACTAAGGACTCATCATCAACAACTAGTACTTGTTGTTCAATATGTTTAGGTGATTACAATGATAATGATATGCTAAGGTTGTTACAAGATTGTGGACATTTATTTCATTTGAAATGTGTGGATCCTTGGCTTATGTTGAATCCAACTTGTCCAATTTGTAGAACATCACCATTGCCAACACCACAATCTACTCCTTTAGCTGAGGTTGTTCCTTTGGCTTCTAGGCCTTCGGGACTGATGTTACAGTAAAAATTCTGACTCTGCTACTGACTTCGATCTTATTGGCTCAAAGTTTTATATTGCATGCTTGGTATCAAATTCTTTGGTGTACTTGATGACAAGTTTGTAAGTGAGTTATAACCAATTATAATATAACACAATAAAACATGATTTTTAAAATATACATATGAAATTTTTAGAGTTTAGTCTTGTATTTCTAAAGTTATTCTTAAAATAGACCTTTATTATAAAATTTTATAGACTTATCCTACGTGTGATGACATTATATTAGATCCAAATTATGTTTTGTCTTTAGGGTCCCGTTGACCTTGTAGATTAAATTGAAAAAAAAACAAAAAAAACTTAGGATATACATAAAAGTGGTTGTAATTGAAGATTATTTTGTATTATTTTTCTCTATCATAGTAGATAACCTTTAATTATTTTTTATTAATTGGAAAACACAAGTTTGGCTAAACCTACTTAATCTTTAAATTCATTTTTCTTCTTCTATTTATTAGTGTGTGGTGATATGCTATTTATAATCTAGAATCTTCTGCAACATAAACAAACAAAGATAAATAAATAATTCATGTCATGTAACATAAAATACATAAAAATAATCATCATATAAAATATATGATTATACCTAAATCTTTGGTGCATGGAACGTGCAATTAAGTAGAGTGCTCATTAAGAAGAGAGAGAAAGAGTCAAATAAATTATTAACTACTAAATTAAAGTTTATAATTAATTTACTATTGATTAAAGTTGAAAAAATGTAGCAGAAAAAGATGTTGATCACATGAAACAAAGCTTACAAGATAATGATAGATTAGACTTTAGAGAAAGTTGACATCTCAAAACTTCATATTAAAGCCTTAAATTATGTATCGTAATTTTTATTTTATATTTTTTTTAAAAAAAAAACTTTTTCTGTTATATATTGATTGTTTTAAAATATCTTTTACTTTATAAAATAAAAAATATTTTTTTTAAATTTTATTTTATCAATTAATTATTTTTTAAAAAATGTAAAAATTTGTAAAGTTTTAAAAGGAAGGAGTAAATTAGTAGAAAATGTCTTCGTTTACTATTTATTAAGAAGTGTGTAAAGAAAAAGTGAACAATCAATATAGAACGAAGAAAATATTAGTTAGGATGCTAGGGAAGTGATTTTATCCTTCATTGATATTTGAACCGTCGTAACATCACTTACAATTGAGGTATTTTCGAGAACAATGCAACTATTATAATTAAAATGAAAAAAATATATTTATTTTAAACTTTACAATAATTTAAAAATAAATATTTTTAAAAATTACGAAATATAATTTGAAACCAGCGAAGCGGAGTACAAAAATAAAAGCACTATAGTCTAATATATATCCATTACATACGTATATATTCACTACAAATTAAAGACTCAACGTATTATTTTTTGTTCATTTTCTTTTTCTAAGTCCAAATTCATTTCATTCAATCAAAACCGTTGACTTTTCATATAAATTATCTCAATTTGGACCATTTACTTAATTTTGGTCTTATAATACCAATGGCCAACCAAACCAAAAAAAATAAATAAAAACCCCACTCCCATAGCCATAATTCTCTTTAAAAAAACATCATGAATAACACCACCACCACCACCCTCTCCGATCCAAATTCCGGCACCGACGGATTCCTCGGATCGGGTCATATCGGAGGGTTTGGGTATGGGATCGGTGTCTCAGTAGGTATACTTCTTTTAATTACAACGATAACCCTCACATCATATTTTTGTACTCGAAATCAAACGATAGAGTTACCACCACCAAGGAGAAGACATAGAATTAATCGAAGTACGTTACAACACGATGGTCAAGACGATAACAACAATAACAACAACAATTGTATAGTCGATATTATTGGAATCGATGAGACAACTCTTTTAAGTTATCCTAAGTTGTTGTACTCTGAAGCTAAGGTAAATCATAAAGACACAACAGCTAGTTGTTGTTCAATATGTTTAGCTGATTACAAGAATAAAGATATGTTGAGATTATTACCAGATTGTGAACATTTGTTTCATTTGAAATGTGTGGATCCTTGGCTTATGTTGAATCCAAGTTGTCCTGTTTGTAGAACATCTCCTTTGCCAACACCACAATCAACACCTTTGGCTGAGGTTGTTCCTTTGGCTACTAGACCTTTGGGATGAATTCACTGCTCGACTAATTCAGATTCATACGACATATAGATCGTACGGAAAACGTACGCTTTTCGATTGAAGATACTATATTGGTAATGATATTAGTCTCTTGATCTTGTTTCTTTGGCAACTTGATCTTTGGGACGACTGACTCGACTAATTCAAATGCACGTCAAGGAAATGTCTTTATTGGTAATTAATTACATTAGTTTCTTGATCTTGTTTATTTTTTTTCTTATAATTGATTTGTGTAAACTGTAGATTAATTAGTTTTTTTTCTTCTTACATTGACCCCATTTTCTGAAAAATTTAGCATAGTTGTAATTATTAGTCCTTGAAAGGGAAACATTGATTAGTCAATTTTCTTGATTTTTTTTTGTTTTGGTGTGTGTTATTCGATTCTCTTTTTCTTCTTCCTATTTCTTCTTCTTTTTTGGATGATATTAATAAGGTCTATTAAATAGTAAATACAATAAATATAATAAGGTTATATAATTATAATTTAGATAATTGCGCTTTATAATTATAACTTTTTTTTTGCTATGGAGGTCCTGATTTGTATATTTCGTTTGTTCATTTGTATATTTCACTTGCATATATATATATATATAT